CACACACACACACACACACACACACACACCCCCTCTAATGGACTTTCCTGCCCAAGCTGGCTAGAGTTCAAGCCCCACTACACACACACACCCTCTCATGGACTTTCCTGCCCAAGCTGGCTAGAGTTCAAGCCACACACACACACACACACACACACACCCTCTAATGGACTTTCCTGCCCAAGCTGGCTAGTGTTCAAGCCCCACTACCAACACACACACACACACACACACACACACCCTCTCATGGACTTTCCTGCCCAAGCTGGCTAGAGTTCAAGCCACACACACACACACACACACACACACACACACCCTCTCATGGACTTTCCTGCCCAAGCTGGCTAGAGTTCAAGCCCCACTACCAACACACACACACACACACACACCCACCCCTCATGGACTTTCCTGTCCAAGCTGGCTAGAGTTCAAGCCCCACTACCAACACACACACACACACACACACACACACACACACACACACACACACCTCATGGACTTTCCTGCCCAAGCTGGCTTTGAATCTTGATCTTACTCAGCCTCCTGAGAAGCTAGGATTACAGGCATGAGCCACCTGCATCTGGTAACCTTTTTCCTTTATGATTCTCACAACCCTAGTCCTACATTACTGTCCAATGAAAACAAGAGTAACACAAAACCCTAATCAGTTATTTTTTTTTCCTAGTCCTGGAGCTTGAACTCAAGAGCCTGGGCACTGTCTCTGAGCTTCTCTGTGCTCAAGGCACAGTGTCACTTCTGGCTTTTTCTGTTTATATAGTACTGAGGAATTGAACCTAGGGCTTCACACATGCTAGGCAAGTACTCTACCACTAAGGCAAGTACTCTAGGCAAGTACTTTACCCAGCCTCCTAATCAGTTTTTTAAAAGCTATACTTATGTAGCTTCAAAATGTAAACTTAAACAATCTTAGGAGTTTCAGTAGATATGTACTGAAGCATAAAACTAAGAACTACTTACCAAGACCTGTTACTACCATGGCTCCAAGATCAGCTACATAATTTCCTTTCCGAAATGTAGCAACTCGACCTCCAACACGATCCTGTTTTTTAAGAAATGGAATAGCCAAAGTCATCGATTCTATTTTTTCAGGGCAGGTACTGAAGCTTGGATTCAGGGCCTGAGCACTGTCCCTGAGCTTAAGTCTACCACTCTACCACTTGAGCCACTTCTAATTCTTTTTTTGTCGGTTGTGGGGCTTGAACTCTGGGCCTGGGCACTGTCCCTCAGCTCTTCAGCTCAAGGTTAGTGCTCTACACTAGAGCCACAGTGCCACTTCCAGCTTTTTCTGCTTATATGGTGCTGAGGAATCAAACCCTCAATGCATGCAAGGCAAGCACTCTACCACTGAGCCACCTTCCCAGCCCAATATACTTCTGATTTTTTGGTAGTTAACTGGAGAGAAGAATTTCATGGACTTTCTTGCTCAGGCTGGCTTCCAATGGCAATCCTCAGATCTTAGCCTTCAGCATAGCTAGGATTACAGGCATAAGGTGCATTAAAGCCAGGCTCATCAATTCTATTTTAACCATAATAACTCTGGCATACTAGAGCTTGATCTTTCCTAACCTAAAAAGAAAGGCTAGTCTGCAGTTTATATGGAGTGCAATCAACAGGACTGAAGATACTATAAGCAAATAAACATTAACCAGAACTGAGGGAAAGGTAACAAAATGTAAGAGGTATACATTAATAGCCAGAGGTACATGTAATCAAAGTATTACTGTCTCTCTAGCCCCATACTTTTCTACACACACACACACACACGCGCGCGCGTGTGTGTGTGTGTGTGTGCACGTGATGCTCAAGAGCCATCCATGGGGAAAATACATGTTCACGAATTCCAATGCTAAAAACCAACTTTTCTGGTACCATGGCTTAACTCTTGTCCCTAATCACTGAAGTTGGCTGTGGGATTTTTGGTTTGTTTTGAAATAGGCTAAGAGTCCAAGGAGCTTTTCAATTAAATTTGAAAAATCATTCATGACAATTATTTTCACCATGAACCCTAATGTGATGTTCACTTTTTCACTATATGCCATCACCTTTTATTCTTTTAGTTTTCATTGTTCTCCACTAATAATTAAGGGAGCTTTAGTTTCATCAGGGCCTACAGATTACCACAAAGAAGAATTAATTGCTACCTACAAGAATAGGTCCCCTATGTAAGAGCTGCCTAGCGAGAAATAATGAGCTGAAAATATCCATCCAAAAGACATACTGAAGCCTTACAAATAGTAAATAATCAACGAGAACTTATCAAAACATTATTGTCTAAAATGCTTTTATCCACAGAATGGCCTGTTGTCCCATATTAAGAGCACTTGCCCAGCAAGTATGAAGCCCCAGCACCAAGCCCCCTCTCCAATAAAAAAAGCTTCATCCATGACAGATAGTTTGTAAACCGAAGTAAATCCTTTACCCTGGCTTCCAGAAGTGTGACATCCATTCCAAAACTTTGCAGTTGTCGAGCTGCTGCCAAGCCGGAAACCCCAGAGCCTATAATAATTACCTTGCCCGTCTTTTTAGCTACGGGAAAAAGAAAAAGGAACAATATTAGAATATCTGGCTATAGTGTTTCTCTTTTTACTCATGAAAACCTCTGGGTTCTTAGCATAACATCTTAAAAGTAAGCAGTTTGGTTGTTTGTAAAATACCTAAAAACAAATGCCTGAAATGTATAAAGTTTAATTTGATATTGAATTTTTTTTTTTTTTTTTTTGGTTAGTTGTGGGGCTTGAACTCTGGGTCTGGGTGCTATCAGTTCTTCAACTCAAGGCTAGAGCTCTACCACTTGAGCCACAGTGTTATTTCCAATTTTCTAGTGGTTTATAAGAGATGACAGTCTCATGGACTTTCCTGCCAGGGCTGGCTTTGAACTATGATCCTCAGATCTGAGCCTCCTGAGTAGCTAAGATTACAGGTGTGAGCCACTAGTGCCCAGCTTGATAATGTTCATAAATCAAATATTATTATCTGGAGAATTAGTTTCTTCTCAATTTAGTCATGCAATGATGGTAGTGCTACAAACAAATGAACTGTTTATTTAACTTAGAGCTATACTAGGACATATTCTGAGTAAAAACTAGTTCTTTTAAGCTCTATTTTTATTTCTTAAATTAGTATCCCTTTCTTTGTGTAGGTGTGCTGGTACTGGGGCTTGAACTCAGGGCCTGGGCACTGTCCTTTAGCTTTATTTGCTTAAGACTAGTGCTCTACCACTTGAGCAACAGTTTTACTTCTAGCTTCTTGGTGGTTAATTGGACATAAGAATTTCAGAGATTTGGGCTGGGAAGGTGGCTTAGTGGTAGAGTGCTTGCCTTGCATGCCTGAGGACCTGGGTTCGGTTCCTCAGCACCAGTTAAGCAAAAAGAAAAAAGCTGGAAGAGGCGCTGTGGCTCAAGTGGTAGAGTGCTAGCCTTGAGCTGAAGAGCTGAGGGACAGTGCCCAGGCCCAGAGTTCAGGCCCCATGACCGGACCCCCGAAAAAAAAAGAATTTCAGAGATTTGTTTGCCCAAATTGACTTCAACCCTTGATTCTCAGACCTCAGTCTCCTAAGTAGCTAAGATTACAGACCACTGGCAAGCCAGCTAATATTTCTGTTTGAAGTTTCAATTCTCAAAATATTCCTGTTGCTTAGACTCCTGGCAGATATTATTCAAACACTATGAACAAGGCCAGTAGTAAACAGAAAAGACAATTTTGACAGAAAAACCTCAAAAGTCTTGCCTGCATAACTGACATCTTCCTGTGTGTGTCTGTGTACATATGTGTGAGTGTGTGTGTGTGGGTGTATGTGTCAGTTATGGGGCTTGAACTCACGCTCTAAGTGCTGTCCCTGAGCTTATGTGTTCAAGGCTAATGCTCTACCACTTGAACCACAGCTCCACTTCTGACATTTTGTGACTTACTGGAGATAGGTTTCAAGGAGACCATGTACTGGGTGGCTACACCTGTAATTCTAGCTACTCAGGATGTTGAGATCTGAGAATTATGTTCAAAGCCAGCCTGGCCAGCAAAACCCATGAGACTCTTATCTCCAATTAACCATCAGAAAACCAGATGTGATGTGACACTGTGGCTCAAAGTGGTAGAGTGCTGGCTTTGAGCAAAAAGAGTTCACAACAGCACCCAGGCCTTGAGTTCAAGCCTCATGACTACTACCACCACCAACAGCAAAAGTTTCAAGGATTTGTCTGCCTTGGGCTGGCTGGTTTTGAACTGTGAGCTTTAGTTCTCAGCCTTCTGAGTAGCTGGGATTACAGGTATGAGCCACTGACACCCAGCTGACTTCTATACTTAACAAATTTATTTTAATTATAAAAAAAAATCCTTTCCAAACTGGGCAGCCACATGCAGAAAACTAAAAGTGGACCCCAGCCTATCACCATGCACCAGCATCAACTCAAAATGGATTAAAGACCTTAACATTA